TCGTCCAACGAGAGTTAAGGCTGATGAGGAAAAAATCATGTGACTGCCCGCAAACGTGCGCCATTACTAAGTTACTAGAGTGTAGTATTACCGGATTTCTAAACGAATGTAACGAAGAACCGTTTCGATTCAAAGTGGATATATATCTTAAAAGTCTCGTGAATATTATCAATAGTGATCAAGGGAGGAAGCGTGAAAAGGCAAAAGCTCTCTATGTTAAGTATAGAATGGTATTTGAAAAAATTTTTTTATTGAAACTGTAGACGTGGCGTGGTGGGAATTCTTTTAGCTTCTTTACCATTCAGGTCTTTTAGTCGAGCCACAAAACCAGTGTTAGGGCACAGGCAACCTTTTAGCTTGGCTGTTGTTAAAAGTCTTTTAGTCGATCTAACGCTGGTCCCATTTGGGCACAGGCAACCTTTTAGCTTGGCTGATGTTCAGATGGGATGAGAAATCAGATGAATTATTACGCGTTAATTGTGAATATTGTTAATTACCCGAATATTATTACATTGCTAGGAACCTAAACCCGATCACGAATTAGCAAGGAGGTGGGAGAAGGAGCGTTCGCATAAACAGGTCCACCTCTATCAACCAACTATAAACGGGACTGTAAGTGGTCCGATAAATGGTGCATATGTGTCTGGCGGAACAGTTGAAACTGTAAACGGAACTGGAACTATCAGCGGAGGGACTTTTGGTGTTAAATCATTCGCATCAAAAAAAAGAGATCAAGAGGTAGATATATTTTTAGTTGGGAAAGTGTAAATGGCAGAACTAATTATTTATATTTTAATCCTTTAGGACTATCACGAGGAGTTGCAGAGAAAACAAGCAAGAATAGACGGTGAGAATCTTCAACCTATCTATAACGTTCAAATCCCTCCTCCACGCGTTGTCACTCCTCCCCATCCACCACGAACACCTGAACATCAAATATTTTCTCCGAGTTCCATCATTTCTCCAACCACAAGAAGTGAAAGTGACGAAGAAACCGATAATGATTTTGATGCAGATAACCGAGACCCCAGGAATCTTACATTCGATGAATATGTAGATGATAATGACGCGGATGATGATGATAATCGAGAGAGAGTTTTCTTGGACGATTCGGTTGCCCTTGATGAAAGCGGTGAAGACAATCCCGTGAGTTTCTTTCTTCTCATTTCTACCAGTTAATATGTTTTGATCTTTGCTAATAAGTGTCTTTGCAATATATAGTATATGTTTCATGAGAAGAATATATCTACGCTATTTACATCATATCGCTTAAAAGCATGGCAAATGGCGCGAGAATCAGGTTTATCTATCGAAACAGACTACCGTGAGATATTGTAAGTTTTAATATTCTCTTGTATGAATTATCAAAAGCTTAACACTAATCGTTTGGAAACATTAGGAGCTTATCGCATATTTTATTGTTACAAGCTGATAATTTCTCGGATCTGCAGATTGAACATTTCTCCGGTGATACTCTAGTAGATTTTCATAAATATATGCGCAATACGTATATAGTGAAAACAAAAGTTGCGCAAGGCGTAAAGACGATATTTCGAGAATGTATCGAGGTATTATTGTATTAATGTATTTTTTTTCTCGAAAAGTTACATATTATAACTTTTTATATGGTGGTTTTGGTGCACTTGATGAAGATCTTGGGCTGAAAGAAGCGGAAAGAAGCGTAGAACGATTATTCACAAAGTCCTTTGATAACCCCATTGACCAGAAAAGGTTTGAAAGGATACGGTTTATCTTTCTACAGTTGTAAGTCCAAATTCATGATGCTTTTATTTCTTGTATGTCCAGCTGGTTATAACATTTTTTATCTATTTCACAGAACGAAAAATATTCCTGTTAAGCCATTGAAGGACCATCTTAGTGAGGGCACTCTGACTGCCAACATTATTAGTCCAGTATTGCGCTCCTTCTTTCACGATGCTTCAATACATCCGGCCATTTGGCCCAACACTGCCAGTATGAGTAGCAAAATCCGTAAACTTGCCGATCTAGATCCCTCACGAGCAAAGCAACCAGACATGATCGGAAATGTTGTGAATAACAACAAATCCAAATACGAAATTATGTTTGGTGAGATTACAGGAGAAGGAAAAAACAACAACGAAAAGAAGAACAACTTAGATCTTATCAGGCTAGGCATTTTCATGAAGGATGCTCTTGATCTTCTCATTAAGAAGACAGGGGAAGATCATATGATTTTTGCGTGGCAAACAATAGGTAAGTGTTCATTTCATAATCATTATAATGTTTCTGAATTTTTTTGTGTACTCACGTATATATATGGCATGGTAGTGACAATATGGACGGGTTATATCATGGTTTTGACCACTCCAGGACTCTATATTATGTTCGATACTGGCGAAACTGAACTTCCAAAGTCCTTTCAAACCTGCGGACAATTCATTAATGGCATTGACAATTTGTTCACATTCACTGTATGCTTAAATTAACATTTTCGATATTCTTTTCTGACTTATTATTCTTAAAACTAACCAGTGACATTTGTTGCGAATCCCAGGACAAATACGAGAATGAAGTGCAAAGGCTTCGTGATTATATTAACAAAAAGAAAGAAAATGGTAATGTCCCTGTAGAAATCATAAATAGGTTGAGAGCTACGTTGAGAACACCGCAGTTTAAAGAAATAGTTAAACGTAAATAATGTTTGAATAGAATTTTAATAATAGAATATCGTTTCTTTACTGTGCTTGTGATATTCATTCTTAATAAAATAATATTAAGATTTCGCTTACATACTGTAATATAACATGAAATTTCTTACTGGAATTGCAAAAAAGGCGGATCAAGCCCTATTCATCCAATTTTAAGGACGTGTCCCAACCTAATCTAATTGCAAAAGGATCATCAATGGCCTTAGTAAAATCAAAAACCACAAATTTTCGATCTCGCAAATGCTTATCAATAATCTTAGAAGCTTTTTTCGGATTATCCGTATATTGTCGCACGATTCTGCAAATGTCATCTCGGCTCCCAGCCCCCCGGAATAAGCATAAGTGCGAAATATTTTCACGAATTATTTTAAGTGTTTGGGTATATTTCTGGCTTACATATACGGGTGAGATATTTTGATGCCGACCACTAATGAAGTAAGGAATAATTCGTTCTTGTACTTTTTTCGATTCGGCGCATAGATCCTCGAATACAACAACTGTACTTCGCTCTGGAGAGAATTTAGTTATATCTGGAATTTTATCTGGAGATATTCTTCTGAATGTGACATTTTCTCGATATGGTTTAGGGGCATTCGCAAAGATCTGAAAGCTATTTTGTACAAGTTGCCATTTCGGCTCAAAATGTTTACCTATCAATACAAGGTCATCATTTTTGATATAACGATTTCCTTTCTTACCTTTAAACAATAGTTGTAATTTATTGCCTAGCATAAGATTAATTACCATATTGGTTTTTCCGCTATTGGACCTTCCACATACCAGCAATCTGAATGGGGCATCTGGACTAAATTTGTTGCCCTTCATTCGTTCTGAGGATTTTTTTGATGTCTCGTCAATATTGTATACAAATATGGGCATTTTTTCTTCTTTCATCTTGATTAAGCCAAGTAATATTTATTCTTTATACGATAAATATCCTCTCTGTATGGTGGATTGTCGGTATTATGACCAAGCAGGGAGGAGAAAATCGAACGCGATTTTTCATGGGAAAATTTAAAACGAATGCGTCACGTGGAGATGTTTTTATTTGCATAAGCGATCAATAATAATTATTAATTTTTGCAATCGCCCTACCCATGATCTCTCCTTTCATTTTCTACCCAAGGCGCTATCAATTTTAAGGTTTTGGGCTTGGGAATTCTCCACTATAGTTATGGAGGGTGCACTTATAGAGGTGTCACTGTATTGTGAATGGCGCGGTTTCTGCTCAGTTGGTATAAGCATCTCGGATTCAAGTTGCACAACGAAGAATATTACGTACGCATTTCCTGTCAGGCTTTTAGCGAAATATCCTGTCAGTTAATTAATTTAGTGAAGATATAAGCAGTGATTTCTCTAGAAATCAGCATCTTCAGCACGTTTATTGAAATTAGAATAGTCCTTTATTCTAATATAAATCGTATTTGATATTCAAATTCATTTTCCCGTATCAGCGGTGTACGGAGTTGAACTTGCCTTCGATCTCGTTGGAATCTTTGACACCATTTAATCAAGCGATAGGCATTGAAACTAATCACATAAAAAATAGACGAAGTTAATAATAATTTAAGGACAGTGTATACGAGACTGATCTAGCATCGTGAGTATTTGAAACCCAATTTAAGGTCTAACTGTCGTTATAGATTTAGCGAAAGTAGAAGAAATCAAAGGTTTCGTAAATCCCAAGGTTGATATCAGTGTTACGAAAATAATAGCGGTGACAAAAAATCGCATTTCTCAATAGGTACATAAAATAATTGAATTTGCTTGAAAGTTTATTGGATACATAAAAATTTTAATATGGAATTCTATCGCTAAAACTAATTTGTATTTGTTTTCCATCAATTTAATCAAACTATTCACAGTCTCTTGAAGAATTGATTCCCATTCCTCAGCTAGAAATTGCTATATTTCTGAACTTTCAGCAAGAAAGTCTTTGCCAACACACAAAGTGTGCTTTGGATCATTATCTTGCCAATTCTGTTGTACATAATTATATAGTAGGCATAAGCTGCGTCTGTGTGCCTTGGATCTTTACCTTGTTTAAAATTTCAGCTAAAATTCCCATCCACGTTTTCAATAAAACAGTTAAATTCAATAGCTTTCTATGAACAAGAAACATCTTTCCGCTAAGTTTTTTTTTGACTTTGAACATAATTCGGTTTAATACTGAACGTTTTTATACAAAATTGGTATGGGAGCATGTGTTATGAAGCTGAGATATATTATGAATTCCGTTTTTTCACAAATTATCGACATTTGAACGTCTTTAGGTTAATGTAAGTTACAGTCCCCGGCGAAAATAATGGCGCGTAATTTTTTATAAATAAAAAACGTACTTTGTTATAAATTTTAAGAAAAATATATATTTTTTTTAAAGCTAAATAGTATGACTACAGCTTTTATTATAATGTTAATACTTGGTATGTGCTCCTTCAGCATCAATGCACGCTTGAACTCGATTTTGCATGCTATTTATACTATTAACTATCACTTTTTTATCGATTCTCTCCCATTCCTCCCTAATAATACTAATAAAATTGTTTTTAGAGACTTTTTTTTTCTGTGCTATCATTTTTTTAACATGTTTCTCGACATTATGCTTCAAAACAGCCCAGAT